GGGGGGGGGAGGTTCCCGTGCCAGGGGGGTCCCGGGGGGTGTGAGTGCCCCAGGAAGGGGTCCCCAGCCCCTGAGGCAGCCCCCCCGCAGGACAGCGCTGCTGAAGCACTACAGGGTGAAGAGAGAGGCCGAGGGTTACGTCATCGACGTGGAGACCCCGGTGAGTGACACGGGGCTGGCCCTGGGGACAGGGACCCCAACCCCGGGCACCCCCCTGAGCCCCCGGGGGGGGAGCCTTGGGGTCACCCGAGGGACTGTCACCGTGCGGGCTGTGCCACCCCAGGGAGCCCCGGGAGCACCCAAGGGTGGGGGTCCCTGGGGTCCCCCGAGGGCCGCGGCTCCAGGAACTGGGACCCCCAAAAGAGAGGACAGGGAACCCCTGAGGTTTGGGATCCCTGGGAACTGCGACCCCCAAGAGACTGGGACCCCCCCAAAGGGCTGCAGCCAAGGGGGTGGGACCCCCCAGGCAGGGCTGGGGCGGGGGGCAGGGGNGGGGGTGGGCAGGGGGAGGGGGATTCTCTGCCAGGCACTAACAGCCCCCCCTCACGGCACAGGGAGGACCCAGGAGCTGCTCAGGGAGCTGCACAGGAAGCTGCAGCAGCGCCAGGCTCGGTGAGGGGACACTCGGGGGTCCCCCTGTCCCCCCCCACCCCGTGCCTGCTGCTCACCCCCAGGGAAAGCTGTCCCCAGTGTCCCCGGGCCTGGGGTGACACTGGGGAGGGGGGGGGGGGGGCGGCAACGAGCCCCGGCGAGGCGGGGGGCACGCAGCGGGGGGGCCGTGGGCAGCCCCGGGGGTGGCAGAGCGCCGTGGGCAGCGCCGGGGGGGGGGCACGGGGGGTACCCCCGGCTCAGGGCAGGCTGGAGCTGCTGGCCGTGCTGTTGCGCTTCTGCAGGCACCGCACGGCGCTGGGCACCTGCAGCCCCGACGTCACCTGGAAGCTGCCACACCACACCTGGGGGCACAGCGGGGGCTCAGGGCGCGGCGCTGGCAGCCCCCCGGGACCCCCAGCGCTGCCCCCTCTTACCATGAAGGCCGGCAGCACCGGCTGGGAGAACTTGGTCTTGAAGGTGTGGAGCAGCTGCTTGGTGCGGGCGTTGTAGAAGGACAGGAAACCTGGGGGAGGGGGCACAGGTGGGCACGGGGGGGGGGGCACAGCCCTGGCACAGGGCCTGGGGGGTGACAATGGCCATGGTGGGGACAATGGCCATGGTGGTGGCAGTGGAGGTGCCAATGGCCAGGGAGGTGCCAATGGCCACACTGGTGCCCATGGTAGTGCCAATGGCCGTGGTGATGAGGTGCTTGGGGTGCTGGTGAGACACGGGGGGGGGGGCACAGCCCTGGCACAGGGCCTGGGGGGTGACAATGGCCATGGTGGGGACAATGGCCATGGTGGTGGCAGTGGAGGTGCCAATGCCCAGGGAGGTGCCAATGGCCACACCGGTACCCACGGCAGTGCCAACGCCCATTGTGGTGCCAATGCCCACAGTGGTGGCCATGGAGGTGACAAAATGTCCATTGAGGTTGCCAATGCCCATGGAGGTGACAATGCCTTGGTGGTGACAATGCCCACACTGGTACCCATGGAGGTGCCAATGCCCAGGGAGGTGCCCATGCCCATGGAGGTGACAAAATGTCCATTGAGGTTGCCAATGCCCATGGAGGTGACAATGCCATGGTGGTGACAATGCACACACTGGTACCCAGGGAGGTGCCCATGCCCAGGGAGATACCAGTGCCCATGGAGGCACCAATGCCCAGGAAGGTGCCCATGCCCAGGGAGATGCCCATGCCCCGGGAGGTGCCCATGCCCAGGGAGGTACCAATGCCCACACTGGTGTCCATGGAGGTGCCCATGCCAGGGAGGTGCCCACGCCCAGGGAGCAGCCCCCATGCCCAGGGAGGTACCAATGCCCACACTGGTGTCCATGGAGGTGCCCACGCCCAGGAAGGTGCCCACACCCAGGGAGCAGCCCGTGCCCGGGAAGGTGCCATCCCATCCCATCCCATCCCAGCCCCACCTTCGTGGAAGTTGCAGTGCACGCCGATGCAGTCGGGCACGGGCACGTCGAGCGCCTTGGCCTTGTTGTTGTGCTTGGCGCTGAAGCTGACCTGCAGCCAGTTGTTGAGGTGCAGGCACCAGGACGCGGGGGTCTTGCCCAGCTGGTCGAACTTGCCCAGGCTGCGGTAGGCGACGCCCACGCCGAAGGCTTTGCTGTCGCGGTCGTAGCGCACCTCCCAGTAGTGCTCGTCGCCGTCGATCAGGGTGTCCCCTGGGGCACGGCCACGGCTCTGCCCGGGCACCCGCGGCGTGCCCGCGCTGTCCCCACCCCGCCGGGGGCGGCCCCTGCCCCCCTGAATCGCCCCCTGGGCTCTGTTCAATCCGTGCCCCCTCCTCAATCACACCCCTGGGTGCCCAAACCCCCACACCCCTTAATGCCCAAACCCCACCCAGGGTGCCCAAACCCCAGCCCAGGGTGCCCAAACTCCCACACCCCTGGGTGCCCAAACCCCATCCAGGGTGCCCAAACCCCAGCCCAGGGTGCCCAAACTCCCACACCCCTGGGTGCCCCCTCCTCACCCACAACCCTGGGTGCCCGAAGCCCCACACTCCTTAATGCCCAAACCCCGCACACTCCCGTGTGCCCAAACCCCCAGCCAGGGTGCCCAAACCCCCCAGCCCAGGGTGCCCAAACCCCAGCCCAGGGTGCCCAAACCCCCCCATCCCTGGGTGCCCAAACCCCAGTCCAGGTGCCCAAACCCCAGTCCAGGTGCCCAAACCCCCCCATCCCTGGGTACCCCACCCAGGGTGCCCAAACTCCCCAGCCCGGGTGCCAAACCCCCCCATCCCTGGGTGCCCAAACCCCAGCCCATGTACCCAAATCCCACCCAGGGTGCCAAACCCCCATACCCCTTAATGCCCAAACCCCCAGCCCAGGTGCCCAAACCCCCAGTCCAGGTGCCCAAACCCCAGCCAGGTGCCCCCACCCCAGCCCGGGTGCCCCCTCACCCAGCACCGTGTAGGACTCTGCGGTGAAGCGGTCGCGGCCCCCGCGGCCCAGGGACATCCTCTTGGGCGACTGCACCACCCTGGCACACAGGGACAGGGCAGGGTTGGCACTGCCCGGCCCGGGGGCCGTGTGGGGGACCCGGGGGTGGCCTCACCTGGCAGGGGAGTTGGCAGGGGAGGCCGTCCTGCCCTTGCCATCCTTCTCACGGGCCTTGACGTCCTGCAGCTTCCCGCCCGTGGCGTCCCACTCCACGCTCATCTCCTCCACCCGCAGGTTCTGGTGGCACGTGCTGGCGTCCAGCCGGAACACGAACGCTGGGCACAGCTCCTGTCAGCAGTGCCCCGGGCCCCCCCTGCCTGGCCAGCACCCCGCAGGGCTGGCACGGGGGGGCACACGGGCACCTGCCACCCCCAACACCCACCTTTGGTCTCCAAAGTGACCGGCTCGGAGAAGTCTCCCGCCACCGCCTTGTTACACGCCCGCACCCGAAAATTCATGTACTTCATGTCAAACCTCAGCCCTGCGGGCACAGCGGGGTCACAGGCTGCGGCAGCGGCAGGGCACTGCCACCCCCGTGTCCCCTGCAGAGCCCCAGCGCCCGCCTGCACCCCTGTGCCTCACCAGTGAGGGTGTACTCGGTGCCCTTGATGCCCTCGATGACCATCCAGGGCTGGTCCTCCTTGGCACGGGGGGGCCCCTCGAAGTTGGTCCTGCGGTACTCCAGCACGTAGTGGTCGATCTTGCTGTCCTCGTCGGGCATCCTCCAGGCCAGGGTCACACAGTTATCGGCCACCAGCGACTCCTCCAGGTCGATCTCGGGGGCGCTGGGCACTGCCCGCAGGAGCAGCCGTGCCAGCGTCCCCCCTCCCTGCCACACAGGGGTTCCCCAGCACTCCCGGGCACCCCCGGGGCTCCCCCTGGGGCTTGGCAAGTCACAGACCTCAGGCGTGGCACCCGTGGGACCCCTGGGGACCCCACCCGTGGCACCCAGAGACCCCCGGCACGGCCCCCACTGCCCCCCTGGGCACAGCACCCAAGCCCTCATCCCTGCCTCCATCCCTGGCACCTTCCTGCCCCTCTGGGAAGGCACCCCAGGCCTGGCAGTGCCCCATCCTGTGACGCCCGCCCCGGTGCCAGGCTGGCCGTGCCCTGCCCTGTCCCCCGTGCCCCCCTGCCCTGGCAGTACCTGGCAGGAAGGCCAGGGCCTGCAGCAGGCGCCGCTCCTGGGCGAAATCCACCATCAGGTTGCTCATGTTGTCACTGACCTTGGCCTTGAGCGACAGGCGGAAGGCCGGAGCCATCGTCACACTGTGCCAGGACAGGGGACAGGGCTCAGGGGGGGTGGGCACCCCCCTGCCCTGCCTGGCCCCGGGGAGGGGGGGCACAGCCACCTCACACCCACAGGGCCACCCCAGCACCTTGGGACCACCCCAGCACCTTGGGACCACCCCTGTGGGGCCCTGGCTGGGAGGAGGAGGAGCAGGGGTTAGTGGGTGGGGGGCTCGGGGGGCCGTACCTATCCTTGATCTGTTTGGCCGCCTTGTGAGCGCAGAGGGAAAGAGGAGAGAAGCAGCAGTGAGGCAGCAGAGCCGGGCACAGGGGGCACATGCGGGACCTGCAGCAGCTGTGGCACCCAGCAGGGACAGCACCCTGCACCCCACAAGGGGCTCTGGGCCAGGAGGGGCTCCGGGCTGAGGGGGGTTCCAGGCCATGGGGGGCTTCGGGCCAGGAGGAGCTTCAGGCCCGGGGGCTCCGGGCCTGGGGGCTCCAAGCCATGGGGGGCTCCGGGCCAGAGGGGGCTCCAGGCCATGGGGGGGGTTCCAGGCCATGGGAGGCTCTGGGCCAGGAGGGGCTCCAGGCCATGGGGGGGTTCCAGGCCATGGGGGGCTCCGGGCCAGGAGGGGCTTCAGGCCTGGGGGGGCTCCAGGCCATGGGGGGCTCCGTGCCAGGGGAAGCTGCGGGCCGGGGCTCACCTGCAGCTCGTAGGTGCGGCTGGCTCGCTCCTGCTTGATCTTCATCACCATGTCCTCCTTGAGCTCGTCCAGCAGCGCGTAGAGCGACTGGAACTCGGCCTCCAGGTCCTGCTGCGCCCGCGCCGAGTTGGCCTGGGCACAAGCGGGGCCTGAGCCGAGCGGGCCCGGCCCGGGGCCCGGGGGCCGGGGGCCGGGGCTACCTCCACGTTCTGGACCATCTGCTTGAGGGAGTAGATGAAGTTCTGGATCTCCTCATTCTTCACGGCCAGGGTGGTGATGATCTTGCGCAGAGATTCCTGCCCGGCGCCCTGCAGCGGCCGTCAGTGCCCGCGGCTTTCCCGCTGCCCCCGGGGCCGTGCCGGGCCGTGCCGGGCCGTGCCGGGCACCGCGGGGAGCGGGCATGGCGGGGCGATGACTTGGCAATGTGAGTGTGAGTGAGTGTGAGTGTGCCAGTGCCGAGCCCCGCTCCCCCCCGTGTCCCTCCTTCCCTCCGGGGCCACCCTGAGCCCCTCAGCCCTGCATCCTCCACACCTGCGCTCCTCATCCCTCCTTCTCCATCCGCCCTTCTCCATCCCTTCCTCCCTCCCTCCCTCTTTCCCATCCCTCCATCCCCTCTTCCTCCATCCCTTCCTTCCTCTTCCTCCCTCCCTCCATCACTCTTTCCTCCATCCCTCCATCCCCACTCCTTCCTCCATCCCTCGGGCCCCTCCTTCATCTCTCCTTCTTCATCCCTCCCTCCACCCGTCCATCCCCTCTCCCTCCATCCCTCCCTCTCCATCCCTCCCTCCATCCTCCATCCCCTCACTCCCCCTCTCCCGGTTCCCCCTCGGTGTCCCGGTGCCCTGCCGGTCCCGGGGGGCTCGGGCCGTACCCGGTCTCCCATCCCGGGCCGGCCCCGCCGCGCTCGGCCCCGCCGCCACCAACAAAGGGGGAGAGGCGCCCCCGCCCCGCCCCGGCCCCGCCCCTCGCCGGCCCCGCCCCCCCATCCCAGTCCCCATTCCTGTCCCCATCCCTGTCCCCATCCCTGTCCCCATCCCTGTCTCCAGTCTCCATTCCTGTCCCCATTCCTGTCCCCATCCCTGTCCCCATCCCAGTCTCCATCCCTTTCCCCCTTCCTGTCCCCATCCCCACCTCTGCCCCATCCGTGCCCCAATCCCCGTCCCCAGCCCCCGCCCACGTCCCCATCTCTGCCCCCACTCTGGTCCCGCTCTCTGTCCCTGTCACCTCACCCGTACCACAGGGCCGGAAGCCACAGTGTCACAGTGTCACAGTGTCACGGGTGACGCAGGGCCAGGAGGCTTTGGGGACAGTGGCACTTTGGGGACAGGGACAGCGTGGGGACTGAGACCCCCCCGGGGACACAGCCCCTCGGAGGGGGGGGCTGGGCTGGCCCTGCAGGGGGGATGTGGCAGCTCGGGGTCCTCATCCCCCTCCTTGGAGGTGAGTGGGGGACAAGGCTGGCTGGGGACAGCACCTGGGACCCTGTGGCTGTGCTGTGGGGTTGGGGACAGGCCACCCAGGGGACACCGGGGGGGCACGGGGCTCAGGCTGTGTGACAGCTGGGGTGAGGGGGGACATCTGCCCTGAGGGGGAGACCAGAGAGGGGCTGAGGACACAGAGGGAGGGACACACATGGGGACAGAGGTGGGTGACACGGCCGTGGCAGGGGGACAGGATGGAGGGTGTGGTCAGAGGTGACAGAGGTGAGCGGTGAGCCTGGAGCGTCCCGGTCCCCCACCCCACGGGTATGCTGGGGAACCGCCGGCTTTGGGGGCTCCATCCATCCCCCCGTGACCCCGGGGCTGTCCCCACAGCGGGCGCCCTGCGGGTGACCCAGGAGCCGGGCGAGCTGCAGGTGACAGCGGGTGACACGGCGGCCCTGGCGTGCCAGGTGGAGGTGGCCGAGGGGGGGTCCCTGCTGCGGATGGAGTGGGTGAGGGGCGGGGGGCTCGGGGTGCTCTGCGCCACCCGCCTGCGCTTTGGCACCCCGCTGTCCCCGTTCCCCTGTCCCCGCCGTGCCCGGGGGGCGCAGCTGGCCTGGCACCCCCCCCGGGCCACCCTCAGCCTCCCGCAGGTGCGGGACAACGACAGCGGCAGCTACGTCTGCAGGGTGACCCTCGAGATCCCCCGGCACGGCACCGCCACCGGCAACGGCACCGAGCTCCGCGTCACCCCCGGTACTGCCCGCGACTGCCCGGGGCTCCCGGTACTGCCCGGGGCTGCCCGGTACTGCCCGGGGCTGCCCGGGGCTGCTGGGACTGCCCGGTACTGCCCGGGGCTGTTGGGACTGCCCGGGGCTCCCGGTACTGCCCGGGGCTGCTGGGACTGCCCGGTACTGCCCAGGGCTGCCCGGTATTGCCCGGGGCTTCCCGGTACTGCTCGTACTGCCCGGTACTGCCCGCGACTGCCCGGGGCTGCCCGGTACTGCCCGGGGCTGCCCGGGGCTGCTGGGACTGCCCGGTACTGCCCGGGGCTGTTGGGACTGCCCGGGGCTCCCGGTACTGCCCGGGGCTGCTGGGACTGCCCGGTACTGCCCGGGGCCGCGGTACTGCCCGGTACTGTCCGGGACTGCCCGGTACTGCCCGGGGCTGTCCGGTACTGCCCGGTACTGCCCGGGGCTGCCCGGGGCTGCCCGGGGCTCCCGGTACTGCCCGGGGCTGCCCGGGACTGCGGGGGGCAGGAGGGCACGGGGAGGTGGCACCGCTGAGGGGCTTGGGGGGTCAGTGAGGGTCACCAGCAGGGCGGGTGGGGTCCCTTGGGCGAGAATCCTGGGGGGTTTTGGGTGGCCACACCGAGGAGGGACAGGGCCAGGGACAGGACAGGGCCAGGACAGGACAGGGACAGGGACAGGGACAGGGACAGGGACAGGGATAGGGACAGGGACAAGGACATCTCTGAGGAGGGACAGGGACATCTCTGACTCTTTCCCCTCCCCGCAGCAGCTCTCGGAGCACATCAGGCAGGTAAACGTGTCCCCGCTGTCCCTGCTGCGCCCTCCAGCCCCGTGTCGGTGTCCCGGCGCCGGGGTGACCCTGGCGGGCTGTGCTTGCAGCGCTGCTCTGGCCGCTCCTGGGGGGCCTGGGGGGCACCGCCCTTCTCCTGGGGACGGCCGTGCTCGGCCACCGCTGCTGTCACAGGAGCCCAGGTAACCCTGTCCCCAAATTCCCCTCCCCGGCACCCCTCACCCTGCCCCACACCCCCACGTTCCCCTGACCCCAAACCTCCCCTGCTCGTCCCCCCCCCTCCAGGGCACCCCGCGTGTCCCCCGAGGGTCCTGGCTGACAGAAGTGACCCCCACAGGCGCTGCCCACCCCGACACGGCCATCTACCTGAACGTGGTGTCCCCGTCGGCCACCGCAAAGCTGCGCCCCCCCGAGCCGAAGGTGTGCCCGTACCAGCCGGAGCTGCGGCGGGCGCGGGGCCCCCCCCTGCCCCCCCGGCCCTGAGGGTGCCCGCAGTGCCTCACACCCTCCCCCGGCTCTGCCTTCCTCAGGAAATCCCCCAAAAAAAGGTGTTTGGCAGCATCCTGTCTGTCACCCGGCTCCGCGTCCTCTGCGTCCCCCCCGCCCCCCCCCCGTGCCATCCTGTGCCACGCCGGCCACCGAGCGTGGGCAGCTCGTTGTCACCGTGCCCGAGGGGTGACAGCGGCCCCTGGGACCCCTGACTCAAGGGAAGCCACTCTGTTGTCCCCTGGGCTCTTGCATGGTGTCACCCGGTACCCGAGGGCTGTGCTGGGGGAGGGAAGCAAGGACCCCCCCGTGGGGGGCAGTGCCACCAGCCCCTCACCACGCGGGTGACCCCGGGCAGTGCCACCAGCCCCTCACCACGCTGTGGTGAGGCAGTGCCCATGCCACGGGCAGTGCCACCCCACGCTGTGCCCTGCGCCCCCCCCGCCCCCCCCCCGTGCCATCCTGTGCCACGCCGGCCACCGAGCGTGGGCAGCTCGTTGTCACCGTGCCCGAGGGGTGACAGCGGCCCCTGGGACCCCTGACTCAGGGGAAGCCACTCTGTTGTCCCCTGGGCTCTTGCATGGTGGCACCTGGCACCCGAGGGCTGTGGTGAGGCAGTGCCCATGCCACGGGCAGTGCCACCCCACGCTGTGCCCATGGCCGGGGGGACTCAGCTCGACTCCCCCCCTCCCATCCTGGGGGTCCTGCACGGTGGTGAGAGCAGGGTGGGACAGCGGTGGCAGTGCCACCACCTTGTCCTGCCTTCCCCAGGGACACCGCAGAGCTGGGCACCAAGATGCACCAGAGGCACCCATTGCTGTGCCCATCCCCATCCTTTTCTCCTCCCTGTCCCCATCCCTGTCCCTAATACCCCCCGCCCACATCCCTATCTCTGCCCAAAAACTCCTCCCCAAACCCTCGCCCCCCCCAAATCCCCGTCCCCAAATCCCCCTCGGAGGCAGCACAGCGTCACCCCCCAGGTGTGACACGGCGGTTTAATGGGGCGGGGGGCGCGGCCGGGGGTCCGGGGCTCACAGGGGCTGCACGGCCACGGGGTAGAGCAGGGACAGGTGGCGGGCACCGCGCACGGGCAGCGCCCGCGCCGTGTAGTGCCCCACGGCCGCCGGTACCGACGGGAAGGCGGCCCCGGCCCGGCCCAGCGTGAAGTGCTGCTCCCGGGTCCGCGTCAGCTTCACGTGCACGAAACCCTGGCTGCTCCTGCGGGACGGGCGGGAAATGAGGCACGGGAACGGGGATGGGGACGGGAACGGGGACGGGGACGGGAAAGGGGACGGGGATGGGAACGGGAAAGGGGATAGGGACGGGAACGGGGATAGGGACGGGAACGGGAACGGGAACGGGGACGGGAACGGGGACGTGGACGGGAACGGGAGCAGGAACGGGAACGGGAACGGGGATGGGAACGGGAGCGGGATGGGAAGGGGTATGGGATGGGATGGGATGGGATGGGATGGGATGGGATGGGGATTGGGATAAGGTGCGGATCTGGACAGGGATGAGGATGGGGACAGGGAAGAGGAGCGGGTTGGAGGCTGGGACAGGGAGGGGGACAAAGATGGGGATGGGGTAGGAAATGGGAATGGGAATAGAGATGAGGACTGGCATGGAGATCGGGGCACAGATGAGGACAGCAGTGCGGATACAGCGATGGGGACCCCATCCAGAGCAGGGGCAGGGGGTGGCACTACCCCAGGAGAGGGATCCCGGGTCACCTCCAGCCTGTGCCGTGCACGGGGACACGCCAGCACGTCCCCACGGCCGCTGGGACAGGAGCACCCGGATCCAACCCAACGCTCCCAGGCTGGCACGGCCCCTGGCAGGGCTGTGCCCGTGTCCCCGCGCTCACCTGAGGGACAGCGAGTAGTCGTCGGGGCTGGTCTCGCAGTCGCGCACCAGGAAGCTGCCCTCGCGGCACAGCGCCAGCAGCGTCTCGGCGCCCGCCCGCCCGATGGGGCCGTGGTACCAGCTGGGCACAGCGGGGTCACTCGGGCACCCCCTGCGCCTCGGGGAGCCACCCACACCCCACAGGGACCTCCTGTGCCGTGGGGCACCCAAGCGTCCAATGGGGCACCCAACCATGCCATGGGGCACCCAACCACACAATGGGGCACCCAACCATCCTATGGGACACCCAACCATGCCATGGGGCATCCTATGGGGCACCCAACTACGCCATGGGGCACCCAACCACACAATGGAGCACCCAACCATCCTATGGGACACCCAACCATGCCATGGGGCACCCAACCACACCATGGGGCACCCAACCACACCATGGGGCACCCAACCATGCCATGGGGCACACAACCACGCCATGGGGCACCCAAACATCCTGTGGGGCACCCAGCCCCATGGCGATTCACGCAGGACACTGGGCCCTCCACACCCCTTGGGGACCCATCCATGTCACAGGGCCCAGCCTCACCCAGGGACACCCTTGACCCCACAAGGACCCACCCAGGGGGACCTCCTCCCCGCGGCTGTGCCCCCGTGGCACGCCAGTGCCACCCCAGGGGACGCCCCCAGACTCACGCCTGCTTCTCCAGGGGCAGCGAGGTGTCCACGTGCCGGGGGCTGGGGGGACAGGCGGGCCGGGGGCCGCCGGGGGCGCGGGGGGAGCGCGGCAGCGGCCGGGACAGGCTGGGGGAGCGCTCGGGGCTCTCAAACTGCACTGCGGGGACAAAGGGACATCACCCACCCTGACCATCACCCACCCACCCCGCCCGCGCCGCCGGCTCCGCTCAGTGCCACAAAGGAACGTCCCACAGGTGGCTCTGCCCTGCCGCGGTGTCCCATCGCTGCGGCCAGGAGCGCTCCGGGGGGTACCCATGGGGGGCACAGGGCGTTGGGGTGGCACTGGGGGACATGGAGGGGACCCCGGGATGCTGTGGGATGCTGAGGTCCAGGACTGACACCCATGGAAGCTGCGGGATGTAGGGTTGGGGGACCCTGGGGTGGTCCCCACAAGGAGGAGGGGGCCAGGAGCGGCAGCCACGGGAGCCGTGCCCTCCCGAGGTGGCACCGGGGGGACGCTGTCACCTGCGAAGGCCCTCGAGATGTGATCCTTCTTCCACTCCCAGGGCTGGTCGTACTCGTCTGCCGGGCGCTCGTCGTCGCGGGGGAGGCGGCTCTCGCGGGCCGGGGGTCCCCCCGGGCCATCCCCGGCCGTGTCCCACTCCTCGGAGGGGGTGTCGTAGAGTTGGGGACCCCGGCGCGGCCGCCCCCGCCGGCCCTCGCCCTGCCGCGGGCACCCTGCCGACGGGGAAGGGGGCGGTGGGAGACGCCCGGGACCCCCGCGGGGGTGCTGGGGGTGCCCGGGTGTCACCACCCACCTGTGGCCTCCTCGTCGCAGCCGCCCTCGGGCGCCGGGTCCTGCTCCCCCTCGAAGGGCTCCGAGTACTCGCTCTCACCTGGGCCCTGCCGGGGGGGCTCCGGGTGGGACGGGACCCCCGCTGCCCCCCCCGCAGCCCCCCGGGCCCTGGGTGCCCTCACGGGACCCTTCGGGCTCCCACAGCCCCCACACGGGTGTCGCCAGCCCCGTCCCCACTCCCGCCCACCTGGTCCCTTTGTCCCCCAGCCCCTCTCCCCTTCCCCCTCTCCCCCCCCCCCCCGCGCCCGCCTCGCCGGGGGCACCGGCACGGGGGGGGCGAGACCACCGAGGGGACACCGGCAGGGACAGCGAGGGCGACACGGAGGGACCCCGCGGGGCTCAACCCCCCCACCCCCCGAGCGGCGGGGGGCACCGCGACCCCCAAGTGACACCGGGCGGTCCCTGCCCGTCAGGGCTTTGGGGGAGCAAGGACCCCCCAGCTGTGTCACCCACCCCGGGGGGCACGGGGGGCTCTGCTCCCCCTCTGCCGCGGGGTCTGGGGGGGCTCAGACACCACGATGGGGGCAGGAGGTTGGGACCCCCCCCCAGCCCTGCCCCGAGTCCCCTCGTGCCATTGTCTGTCCCCAGAACAAAGGTCCCTCCCCTTGGGGTCCCTCCCCTTGGGGTCCCTCTCCTTGGGGTCCCCCCGGTGCTGGGGGGTGGTGACAGCTGGGGAGTGGGGGGACACATCTGGGAGGACACGGCCGGAGACCCCCCCTCCCGCCCCCCCAGCCCGGGCTGAGCCCAACGGCCAGCATTAATATTTGAAGAGGCTAATTAAAGCATGTGCACAGAATGCTAATTGGGATGGGGGGCTGCCCTTCTGTCCAGCTCTCCCTGACGCCCCAGAGCCCCCCCGGCCCCCCCCCCTCCCACCAGCCCCTCTGTGAGGGCGTTAATTAGCCAGAGGCTGCTCAGCAATTAGACCTGGTGCCTTGATGAGGGGGAAGCTCACGGCCATGGGTGAGGAGAGCCCCCCTTGGGGTGGGTGGGCACTGGGGGTCCCTGTCACGGGGGTGGGGGTCCCTTGGGGCAGGGTCCCACAGTGCCCACGTACAAATCACTCTCTGCACGACGAAGCTCTGGGGTGAAGCTCTGCTCTGGCTCTGCCAGACCCCGTTTATTCCCGAGCTGCTGGAGCCCAGCAGGGAGGGCTTTGTCCCCGAGCTCCTGGGGACATCCGGGGGGCTGCTGGTGGCAGGACAGCCCTGTCCCCGCAGTGAGGGGCTGCAGGACCCCCTGGTGTGTGCAAAGGTGGCACCTGAGACACCCTGGGACAGAAGAAGCTGGGGGTGACGTGAAGGAGGGGGTCCCTGCACCCCGGTGGGAAGGAGACAGCTCCAAGGTGCCATTCCTGCTGGGGGGGGGTCAGGGCACCCCAAACCCGACCTGGGCACGATCACTGTGGGGGTGAGGGCAGTGGCACCCCCGGAATGGACACAGCAGAGTCCTGTCCAGCCCTGGCACTCCCAAAGACATCCTGGGAGCAGGGCTGGCACCCAGCAGCACTGCAGGGAACACAAACAAACACCTTCCCCGCGCTGCTGCTGCTGCAGGAGGTGACAACAGCGTGGGACCCCCCGGGCCCCTGGCGGTGCTGCCAGCTCCGGGTGGGGCTCCAGGGGCAGCAGGAGCGGGGACAGCTCTGTCCCTGCTGTCCCTGCTCTGTCCTGGCTCTGTCCCTGCTGTCCCTGCTCTGTCCTGGCTCTGTCCCTGCTCTGTCCTGGCTCTGTCCCTGCTCTGTCTCTCCTCTGTCCCGGCTCTGTCCCTATTGTCCCTGCTGTCCCAGCTCTGTCCCTGCTGTCCCTGCTCTGTCCCTGCTCTGTCCTGGCTCTGTCCTTGCTCTGTCCCGGCTCTGTCCCTGCTGTCCCGGCTCTGTCTTGGCTCTGTCCCGGCTCTGTCCCTGTTGTCCCTGTTGTCCCTGCTGTCCCTGCTGTCCCGGCTCTGTCCCAGCTCTGTCCCGGCTGTCCCTGCTCTGTCCCTGCTGTCCCGGCTCTGTCCCGGCTGTGTCCCTGCTGTCCCCGCCCCGCCGGCTCCTCAGTCGCTGGCGCTGCCCTCGCTGTCCGAGTAGGCTCCCAGCAAACCCAGCGAGGACGTGGCTGCTGCTGCTGCTGGTGCTGGTGCTGCTGGTGGCAGGGAGCCTGCGAGGGGAGGGAGGAGAGGATCCCGTCAGGTCCAGCCCCCCCAGGGCCATTCCCGGTGGGAACTCCATCCTGGCTGCAGAGAGCCCGAGGGGAGCCTCGTCCCTGGGGGGACCCTGAGGTCAGGGAGGATAAATCAGGTGGATAAAGAGCTCCTGCAGCCCTCCCTCCTCCTCCTCCCTGTGGGAAGCACCGAGGTCTGGGACCCCCTTCTCCCTCTCCACAGCCCCCTGGAGATTCCAGAGCATGGAAAGGGAGAGGAGCCAGCTCTGGGCTCCCACCACCCCAGGGGACAGCAGCCAGGAGCAGGCTGGGGAAGCACAGGGAGAAGGGGACACCTCCAAGAGCTGTCCCTTCCGAGGGCAGAGGGACTGACCAAGAGACTGACCAAGCCAAAGGCTTAGGATCAACCAGCCCACAACAAATCCATCCCCCATGTCCTTCCCCAAACCCACGGCTCCCCTGGCTTGCTGGGCAGCTTACTGAGGTGCTGGAAAGCCTTCCAGCTTGCTTTGTGGTCCTTGAAGCTCCCCAGCTCCAGCAGTTAGGCTGGATTTATCACCAGGCCCCAAAGCAAAGCAGCTCTCCTGCTGTCCCACCCCTATCTCGCTGTTGTGACCTTCCCAGGGCTGTATCTGCTGCTGTGAAGCTCCTGGCCCTGCCAATCTGTCCCCAAGGCCGTGGCTGAGAGCCAAGAGCCAGGAAGGAGCCTCACCTTCACCAGGAAGCTCCTGGAAAAGGGAACAACCCCCTGTTCTCACACCATCCCCCCAGGGACCCCAGCCCAGGCTCTGAGCACGGAGCCAACCCCACTCAGGATCTGTCAGAGCCCCCCAGGGACCCCAGCCCAGGCTCTGAGCACGGAGCTAAACCCACTCAGGAGGGGTCAAAGCCCCCCATGGACCCCAGCCCAGGCTCTGAGCATGGAGCCAATCCCCTCAGGAGGGGTCAGAGCCCCCCAGGGCCCAGCCCAGGCTCTGAGCATGGAACCAATCCCCTCAGGAGGTGTCAGAGCCCCCCAGGGACCCCAGCCCAGGCTCTGAGCATGGAGCCAATCCCCTCAGGAGGTGTCAGAGCCCCCCAGGGACCCCAGCCCGGGGCAGGTACCGGTGGTGGCCGTGGTTCCTGGGGTTTCCATCCTGTTATCCAGGGCAGGATCTGGCTTCTGCTTCCTGGGGGCCACCAGCCCTGCCAGCTGGGCCCTGGTGCTGAGCTTGCCCACGCTGCGCTCCCAGCTCTCCGTCCTCGGCCTCTTGCTCTGGGGCTGGGGGTCCTGCGGGCACAGCCAGGGTCAGGGGGCTCCAGCTTGGAGGGGACGTGGGGGGATTGGGGATAAAACCAGCAGAGACATGAGAGGAGGGGTCTGAGGGGGAATTCTGCCCCTGCAGGGGTGGCACAGGCTGGACAAACAGGGATGTGGATCTGCAAAGCTGCCCCTGGAGATCCATGTCCCACTGCCAGAGACCTAAACCCAGCCTTGGGACAGCCCTGGGATGCTGAGGAGGCAGAGAAATGAATCCCAGGATGGTTTGGCTTGGAAGGACCCTAAAGCCCATCCAATCCCACCTTTCACTCAACCAGGTGCCTGTCCAACCTGACCTTGGACACTTCCAGCCACAGCTTCTCTGGGCAATCTGTTCCAAAGTCTCCTTAAATCCAATCCAACCCTCCCCTGCCTCACTTCCAGACCATACCCCCGCGTCCTAATCCTCCCTGCCAGGATAAGAGTTGTTTTCTCTCTGTTTTATCAGCTCCTTTCAAGGCCACTGAGCAGCCCCGGGTGCCTGCAGGTGGCCCAGCCATGTGCCTCGGGCACAGGGATTAGTGCCAGGCCAGGGACCACGGCTGGGATTAACCCCAGGCACGCAGCTTTGATCCAGCCCAGCTTTGATCCAGCCCAGCGACAGGGGGCCCTGGGGCAGGGATGACAGCGGGGGAGGGCAGGGCTGTTTGTGGGGACAATCCCTCCTCCAGCACAGGGACAGCAGGGCTGTTTGTGGGGACAATCCCTCCCTCCAGGCAGGCTCTGGGAGCTCTTTTGTTCTGCCTGAACCCACAGCAGAGCCCAGCGAGAGGCCGGCCCAGCCTGAGGCAGCAGCAGAGCCCCCCAGGTGGCTGGGGGGTGGACAGCTCTTGGAGGTGTCCCCTTCTCCCTGTGCTTCCCCAGCAGCAGGGCCCAGCAGAGCTCTTCCTCGCCAGGAAGGGAGGATGGGGACAGCTCCATCCCTGCCTTTGTCACCAGGCCCAGCCTGGAATCCCCGGGTGATCCCTGGCTCCTCTCAGCCCTTTGGGAGCTGCTCAGGCGTGACACGAGCCCGCTGTCACCCAGAGCGGGGCCACAAAGGGCACACACAGCTCCAGGACAGAGCCCTGGGGCTGGGGAAGGGCAGGGCAGGCTGTGCCTCTCTCACCTCCTGCAGGATGTCCGTGGGTTTTGTCTGGGCCGTGGGGTCGGGGCGAGGTTTTGCCGGTTCCTCGTCGGAGTCGGAATCCACCAGGAGCCGGCGGTTCTGGGCCTGTTCCAGCATGGCCCTGCAGGGACACAGGGGGGTTGGAGCTGGATCCACCCCCCTGCCAGGCCCTGCTTGCTCCAGGGGGGCTGGGGGCAGCAGAGGAGCCCCGGGATCCCCCTCCCCAGGGGGTTCTATGGGATTCAAGCCTGAGGCGTGGTGGGATCTGCTCTGGGATCTGGAGCTTCACCCCAGAGCAGGAACTGTGGCCATGTGAGGGCACTTCCCAGAGGACTGGACCCCCCCAGCAGCCCAGATCCCACACAATCCCAGCCTGGCTGGCTTGGAAGGACCTCCCACTCCTTCTCCCTGAACACCTTGCCAGCACAGGCTGAGATCTCCTCCCACCCCCCAAATCCTGGTAACTCAGCCCCCCTGTCCCAGCCCTTCCAGCCCCCTCACTTCATCTCCTGCTCGTCCTCCTCCTGCTCCTTGCGCCTCTGCTCCTCCTCCAGCTCCTTGTGCTGCTTCAGCATGGCCTCAAAATCCACGTTGGCCTGGCGCTGGTTGAGCTCCTTCAGCTCCTGCAGGTTCTCCAGGACCTCCATCTCCAGCTTGGAGTCCTTGGTTCGGTTCTCCAGGACCTGGGTGGGATAAGTTGGGATATTTGAGGCAGCAGAGCCTGACAGGAGCCTCCAACAGCTCCCCACGCTGGATGAAGCACAAGAGGATCCTCCTCATCCTCATTTTTGGGTAGGACAGGAAAGTCTGGATGGCTACAAAGTCACTGCCATGGCTGGGGAGAGTGAGGCAGAGTGGCAGAGGTTTTCCTGCACTCCTTGTACCTTCATGGGATTGTTGAGCTCCTCCTCTTCCCTCTCCTCCTGCATCCTCTTCTCCTCCTCCTCCAGGAGCTTCTCTGCCTGGAAGTTCCTGGTGGCTCCGTGCTCCATGGTGTAATCCGTGTTCTCGGGGTCTGTCTGAGGGGGAGCAGCAGGAGAACCATGGAGGGGAGGGGGGGATCCTGCCCCAGCCAGCCCACAGCCACCTCAGAGCCTCACATCCCCCAGCTCCACCAATGGAGCTGCCATGGGAAGGGTGATCCAGACAGAAACCCACCCTGGGACTCAGCTCTCCTGGTTCTGTGCTTTCCCAAACCCAGAAACCCACCCTGGGACTCAGCTCTTCTGCTCTTCTGCTTCTGTGGTCTCCCAAACCCAGAAACCCACCCTGGGACTCAGCTCTTCAGGTTCTGCTGGTTTCAAACCCAGAAACCCACCCTGGGACTCAGCTCTTCTGCTTCTGTGGTTTAAGCAAGGCACAGTTCTTCCCAGGAATATTCCTGGGATTCACATTCTCTGAACCTCAGAGAAAGAAAACACAATGCTTATCCTTTTCTGTGCTGTGTTTGTGCCAGAGCAGAGTGAAACTGGGATTGTTCACCCACAGTGAGGGTGTTTTTGTTCCTTGGCCTGTCAGGCCAGGTGTGTAATCCCACATTTCTCTTCACAGAGAAAAGCAAGGCACAGTTCTTCCCAGGAATATTCCTTGGATTCACATTCTCTGAACCTCAGAGAAAGAAAACACAATTCTTATCCTTTTCTGTGCTGTGTTTGTGCCAGAGCAGAATGCAGCATGGAGATTGTCCCTGGTCTTGTCCCTGGTCTCTCTCCCTCCTCCCTGTCAGGTCCTGGAAGGGAACCCCCCCACCCCCTTCCCTGCAGCCACCAGAGGCAACATCTGGAGCCTGGGCCCAACAACATCTGGAGTTCCTCAGGAGATTCCCCCTGCTCCAACTGCCTCAGGTGTCCCAGCCTGGGGGGGTGGAGCGACCCTGCTGGTGGCCCTGGGTGGGCTTTGAGAGCCTTCCAGCCCATCCCAGGAGGGATCCCATCATTCCAGGGGGGATGCCATTGCTCCAGGAGGGATCCCACTATCCCAGGAGGGATCCCATTGCCCCAGGAGGGATCCCATCGCTGCAGGAGGGATCCCATTATCCCAGGAGGGATCCCACTGCTGCAGGAGGGATCCCATTATCCCAGGAGGGATCCCATCATTCCAGGGGGGATCCCACTGCTCCAGAAGGGATCCCATCATCCCAGGAGGGATCCCATCATCCCAGGAGGGATCCCAGAGCTCCAGGAGGGATCCCATTGCTCAGAAGGAATCCCATCATTCCAGGAGGGATCCCAGAGCTCCAGGAGCGATCCCAGTGCTCCAGGAGCGATCCCACTACTGCAGGAGGGATCCCAGCTCCAGGAGGGATCCCAGTGCTCCAGGAGCGATCCCAGTGCTCCAGGAGCGATCCCACTAGAGAGCAGATCTGGGAATGCTCCTGAGCTTGGGAATGCTGGGGGTGTTTCTATGGAGAGAGAGCAGATCTGGGAATGCTGGGGATGTTTATTTGGGAATTCTGGGGATATTTCTATGGACAGAGAGCAGATTTGGGAATTGTGGGGATATTTCTATGGAGACAGAGCAGATTTGGCAATTCCAGGAATGTTTCTATGGACAGAGAGCAGATTTGGGAACGTTCTGAGTTTGGGAATTTTGGGAATGTTTCCATGCACAAAGAGCAGATCTGGGAATGTTCTGTGTTTGGGAATTCCGGGGATGTTTCCAAGCACAAAGAGCAGATCTGGGAATGTTCCTGTATTTGGGAATTTAGAGAGAGCAGATCTGGGAATGCTCCTGAGCTTGGGAATGCTTGGGGTGTTTGTGAGCACAGAGAGCAGATCTGGGAATGTTCGTTCCTGTGTTTGGGAATGCTGGGGATGTTTCTATGGAGAGAGAGCAGATCTGGGAATGCTCCTGAGCTTGGGAATGCTGGGGGTGTTTCTATGGAGAGAGAGCAGATCTGGGAATGCTCCTGAGCTTGGGAATGCTGGGGGTGTTTCTATGGAGAGAGAGCAGATCTGGGAATGCTCCTGAGCTTGGGAATGCTGGGGGTGTTTCTATGGAGAGAGAGCAGATCTGGGAATGCTCCTGAGCTTGGGAATGCTGGGGGTGTTTCTATGGAGAGAGAGCAGATCTGGGAATGCTCCTGGGCTTGGGAATGCTGGGGGGGCTTCTATGGAGAGAGAGCAGATTTGGGAATGCTCCTGACTTTGGGGATGCTGGGGATGTTTCCATGCACAGAGAGCAGATCTGGGAATGTTCTGAGTTTGGGAATTCCGGGGATGTTTCCATGCACAAAGAGCAGATTTGGGAATGTTCTGAGTTTGGGAATTTTGGGAATGTTTCCATGCACAGAGAGCAGATTTGGGAATGTTCCTGTATTTGGGAATTTTGGGAATGTTTCCATGCACAGAGAGCAGATATGGGAATGTTCTGAGTTTGGGAATTCTGGGGATGTTTCCATGCACAAAGAGCAGATTTGGGAATGTTCTGAGTTTGGGAATTTCGGGGATGTTTCCATGCACAGGGAGCAGATTTGGGAATGTTCTGTGTTTGGGAATTCCGGGGATGTTTCCATGCACAGAGAGCAGATTTGGGAATGTTCCTGTATTTGGGAATTTTGGGAATGTTTCCATGCACAAAGAGCAGATTTGGCAGTTCTGCAGCTCCGGGAACCTTCCCGCTCCCCACAGCTCGCACAGGAGGCCGAGCCAGGCGGGGCTCGGGCTCTGCTGCCGGGGAACAGCGGCGGGATGAGAGGAAACGGCCCCAGCTCGGGTTTAAATCCGGTACCGGGGAAATCCCTTCACGGAAAGTTTTGATAAACTCCGGAATGGGCTGCCCGGGGGGGGTTGCAGTCTCCATCCCCGGCGGTGCCCGAGGACGGGCACTCGGTGCGCCGGGCTGGGCACAAGGCGGCACCGGGCACAGCGGGGACTCGATCTCGGGCCTCACGGATCCCGGGAGCGACTCCCGAACCAACCGGGGCCGCCCCGCGCCCTCGGGGAACCCTCCCCTGGCCCAGCCCGGCTCGGGACGCTCCCCGGCCGCCTTGGCGGGGATTCCTCTCCAACTCACGTTCAGCACTTTCCGTTCCGACATCGCTGCGGCTTCTCCCGATCCCCGGTGCTGCCGGTGCTGCCCCCGCGCTCCTCACCGCTTCCGGGTGTGGCCCCGCCCCCTCCGCCGCTCATTGGCGCAGCGAGCAGCGGCCTCCCCTTTCCTCCCTGTTATTGGCTGAAGCAGCTGCCTGTCAAAGGATCCGCCCACGGCTGTTGTACAACCCAGCCAAGAGTCCGCCGGAGAGCCGCGGCCTCACAAGGGGTTCCGCACATTTTTGGGTCCTGGAGGGCGGCTATCCTCAGTCTCCGGCTGGGGAAACTCGGGGCTCCGATCTGGGGCAGGGAGACCCCAGGGCTGCGATCTGGGGCAGGGAGACCCCGGGGCTGCGACCTGGGGCTGGGGAAACTCGGCTTCCTCACAGCAACATGGGATGCGGGCCCCGCTCTCCCATGACGCATACTCATCATGTAGATAACAGTCCCCAAACAGTCTGGTTTGTGTCTAAAATGCCACTTTATTTCCAAACACCGAGGACTCTGAGCCCATTTGAGTTTGCGGCTGCTTTTTCGCTCACTCCACTGAGCATGCGCGGCCATGGCAGCCATGCTGTACGGCACCGCCGCACTGCGCATGCGGCGTTACCATTGCCGCCATTCCGTACAGCGCGCCTGCCACGGGCTCAGCCGCCAGCGCGGGCAGTCCCAGGTGCCGCTGCCGCCAGCCCCGCCCTCACGGCGTGGCTGCAGCCCTGCGCATTCTCAAATCCTCACTCCCCGCTGCTGCCCGCCCCTTTTACACGGCGCCGCCACACCGCGCCCGCGCAGACCCGCCATTACCGCCGGCGCGGGCGGCGGTGCTGCCTCACCGCGCACGCGCAGCGCCTCGCGCGCCGTTTCTCCCCTCGCCGCCCGCCGCTTGTTCCCCCGCGCTCCCCACACAAAGGACGCGCTGGGAAATGGCGGCGGCCGCGGCCTCGCAAAACGCCCCCGGGAAAATGGAGCCGCCCCCGGCGGCGGCCGCGGCGGCAGCGGCGGCTCCGCCAGCGCCCAACGGGGCGGCCGGCGCGGGGGGGCCGCCCCCTAAGAGGTAGGGGGGCCGTGAGGGGCCGCGCTGCCGGTGGGGCCGAGGGGGCCGCGTGCGGCCTCCCCGCTCGTGGGCCCGGCCTGAGGGCGGCGGGCCGGAGCGGGGCCGGCGAGCGGTCCCGGTGAGGTCGATAGCGGTGTGCGGGGCCGCTGCCGGCGCTGCTCCCTCCGGGCCCGCCTTGGGATCCCGGGCGGGGCCGTCCCGAAGGCGCCTCCGGGGCTCCCGCGGCGCTCCGGGCCCGGTCCCGGCGGGCAGGGAGCCCTGGGGCCGCCGCCATCCCCTGGGAAAAGCTGAATTCTGGTGGGGTTTCGGCCTCCCTGGGCGGAGCGGGCTGTGCCAGCGCGGGGGTGGTTAAGTTCGTTACTTTTTTGTGCTGTCGGTAAGTTGTGAGAACTCCGTTGCCCTCACCCCGCTGCCCGCCCTGGAGCCGAGTGCTCCTTTTTGGGGGTGCTTTACGCGTGAGGGGATTTAGGAGCGCAGACACCTCGAGGGTGAGGGTTTAAGGTGGTGCCCGCGAGGGATTGCACAATCTCTCGGTAAAACGTTAGAGAAATTTAAACCAGAATCAGCGGCGCTGCAGTTCCGGCTCTGTAAACGTGGGGATGAAGGGCGCAGAAAGCCTCAGCTGCTTCTCACTTCCTCACGTTGATGCTTGACGGAAATTCCACACTTGGCAAAGCCGGTTTTGGTACCAAATCCACTGAGCAGAAAGGACTTCTCTCCCTCAGGGCGTTTCTGGCCTGTTTTAGGCGGGGTGATAAGGATCAGGTTGAACCTGGTGTGCTGTGATTCCTGCTGCAGACTCGAGCTTGGCTTTGTGTTTCCCGAGACCAGGAACAGCTTTGTCGCTTTAGGGGAAAAAGATCCATATTTATTTATTTTTTTTTCCATTGGAGAACAGTCAGACTGTGCTTTGGGCAGTAAAATACCGACAGACACAATTTCATTGACTGTGCAGCTTGAGCCAGGCAGGGGCAGAGACATCCCAGGGACAGGGGAGGGTGTTGCCACCCTGGATTCTGTTCCCAGCACTCCTGGCAACATGGAATCAGCAGTTTGTCTGCACGAGGGGCCAGTTCATTCCTGGAAGTATAAATAAAGATATCTCTCTGCCCTGGTTTTCCTGCCCCTGTTATGTCTGGGATGCCTCCAGGGAATTTGTTTGTGTCTGCAGGTGCAGTTCTGTTTGGAATGTCCAGCTCTTGATTCCCCAGGGATAACACCAACCACTCCTGTGGTTCTCAGTGGCCTTGGGGAAATCCAGTTTAAGAAACAACAACTAAAATCAGAGTGCAGCTTTTAACACAACTGCATTTTGTGTTGTTTCATCAACCAAATGGAAATGAAGGTGGAAAAAGCGTTGTCCTATTTCAAGTCTAATTTTTGAGTTTTAATTATTTCATTAATTAAGAAGCTTTTAAAAAGCTCAGAGAGAGAAAGACTGGAAAATTCCCATCCCTGTGTCTGGAGAAGCTTTGGGTGATGGAAGCAGGGAACACACTCATAGAAACCTTCAGAGAGGCCTCTACATTCTCAATTTCCTTTTTCCCTGCAGGCTGTTGGGTGTGCTCAGGGATTGAAATGGTCCTGAGGGGATGGAGCTGGGATTCCTGAGCTGCAGCTTGCAGGGCTGCACAGGTCCTGGGCTGGGAAAAGCCCAGGACAGACAGACTGTAGAAACTCCAGCTTTTTTTATCCGATGTGTTCTGAATTCCTCCTCAACGTGTGTTGGTGCATCTTCTCCAGCAGCACTGAGTGAGCAAGGAGATTAATTGGATTAGTGAAGGGAATTATGTAAGACTGAGGCTGAAGCTTTTTCTTCCCTTGGTTTGGTGTTTCTTTCCTTTCCAGGCGGGCTGGGCTGTACGGCCCCTCCCCACCCGAGCTGCTCTGGGGTTCTGGGGTGATTCTGGGGGGTTCTGGCACTGCTCCATCCCCAGCAGCTCACAGGAGTTCTCTCCTTGCAGCGAAGGCGAGCGCCCGACCCCGAACGAGAAGAAGAAGGAGAAGGGGATGAAGAGGGGAGGGAACCGCTTCGAGCCCTACGCCAACCCCGCCAAGAGGTACCGAGCCTTCATCACCAACATCCCCTTCGACGTCAAGTGGCAGTCCCTGAAGGACCTGGTCAAAGAGAAAGGTAAAGTGCAGCTCAGGTGGAGAGGCTGCGTGCTCCAGCCTGTGCCTGGCTCTGTCTGTAGCTCAGCACTTGCACTTCTGGCTGCACTTGGCCGCAGAGTTTGGGAAACTCTTCCCGAAGCCTTCTGGGTGTGGCACAGCCTGGTCCCTGGCAGCCTTCCAGGGATGGTTCCTGTGGAGACCTGTGCCGTGCAGCTGTGGAGCCTCATCCCAGGATTAGCAGTGTTTTCCTTAGGGATGCACCCCCAGGCTTTCAGCAGGTTTTAGCCTTGCAGTGCAGCAGAACTTTCTGAGGCATTTTAATGTTTTTTGGGCATATTCAGGTGGTTACATCCTGCTCTGGTGTGTGGATATCCAGCTGTGTCCCCAGATTTGGAGGGCTTTGAGCTGGCTTCAAGAGCCATTCTGCCATTGGTTGCAGTTCAGTGTATTTAAGGGTGACCTGCAAAATAAGGTTGGTGCTTTGGTATGTGCTGCAGCAGAAGCAGGGCTTTGGAAATCAGGTTTGTGGTGTTCCCCCTTCCACAATTCCCTTTAATTCCCATGTGGATGGGAGCTGCCTTTGCTGGCCTGAACATCTTCATCTCTTGAGGAAGATGAAGAAATTGAGCTGAGTACTCAGGTAGTGACAAGTCTAAATTAGTGTCATTTCTTCAGGCTGGTGCCCAGCTTTCTAGTTTTCAAGTCACCTTGGAAGTGCAGTGGAGTGGCAAGAAAATCCTTGGCTTCTCCAGCCTTGAAATGTCTAAAGCAAGTTCAGAGTAACAGCACGACATTTCCTGTGGGGCACTTCTGGATACAGAGCCTCAGCCAGGGTAGTGGGCAGTGGTCATTGTGCTGGAGCTGGGTAAGGACTGACAGTTCAGGTGTTTGAGGTGTGGCCTAAAGAAGGGGAAAACCAAGTTCCAGAGGGTTTCAATTGTTTGTCTTCGGCGGCAAGAGGGAACAGAGTCTGCGGAGCAGCCGTGGGGACTGGGAGCTTCCCTAGCCTGGGGCTGTTTGAGAGCCAGCAGTGTTTGTGCCATGGCAGCAGTGTCAGCCTCGAGGGCTGCTTGAGCAGGCCCTGGTGATGGATGGAGCCCTCAGTGCCCCGTGGCTGCCCCAGATCCGTCGGCGTTCCGGGTGTGGAGATGTCCAGCTCTCTGTGCTGCGTTGAATCCCGTTCCCGGTGTCTGCTGGTTTCTCTCCAGTTCCCGTGGATGGCAGAGGCCGGGCTGAGGTTGTTTTCCTGCCGGGCTGTTCAGCTGCTCATTCCAGCAGATGCTCCTAGGGGAACATTGGAGCTTTTCCTTCTGGCTGCAGGGCTTGTCCTGCTAAAACTGGGATCATTCCCGGGGTTTGGCACTGCTGGTGAATCCAGCCCTTTGGATTTGCTGTGGAGTTGTTCTGGACTTCTCCCAGACTGCTGTGCTGGCCTTGCTCAGTCCTTGCCCCGAGGCAGAGCAGTTCCAAGCCCCAGGAACTCCGACCCCTCGGAATTCTTGCTTCGGAAGCGTACGAACGCCAGGCCAAACGTCCCAGGCTCTGGGAGCAGGTGGAATTCTGTGCCCAAGGGGAAACCCTGGGTGTGTGAGGGCTCTGCAGGGCTGGGCTGTAGCAGCAGGAGCTCAGCTCGGGGAGGTGCCGCTGTTCCTGCAGCCTGGGAGTGGCCAGGCTGCTCCAGGTGCCTCCTCTCTCTCTCTCCATGCTCGGGCATCCCAGTGGATTGGTTGGAGAAACTCAATTACAGGTATGCAGTGGGAATGTTGGTAATGGAATGAAGAGATGTTCTTGTTTGGAACTCCCTCGTTTCGCTGGCAGACACAAGGTGTTACCTTACT